CAGGGGCCGCAGCCCCGCGCCCTGAGGGAGCCCGCGGCCTCGCGGCGCCCCTCAAGGTCAAAGGAGCTGCAGGGCTGCGGGCCGCCCCGCCGGGGCCATACGCTGGTCTCGGTGAAACCGGAGCAACGTGCCCAGAGCACCAGGGCTTTGCGGCCTCTCCAGGGCTACAGGCAGGGCTGGGCTCGCCGAGGGTGGTGGTGGTGCTCTGGCGATGTACTGATGGGGAGGGGAGGGGAGGGGGTGCCCTGGAGTGCCTGAGACCCCCTGAAGGTGCCTGCAGCAAGTGCAAGGGCAGGCGAGGACCACCCCACTCCACCCACTGCCCGGCCCCTCTGCAAGAGGCAAGCGCCGTCAGACACACATCGCGGGCTTTTGAACTGATGAGCCACTCAGTTGGCACAAGTTCCTGGGGGTGCCCGGACTCTAGAAAGCTTCAGAACGACTGGGCTACTAGAAGAGCCACCATCTGGCGGGTACATGGAGAGCCTGCCAGAGAAGAGCTGTTTAGCAGCTCTGTCATGCAAGCACGTTTTCCTGCCTTAAATTTCTTGTCTGACATCGGTGCTTTTTCAGACCTGTTCTCCCATCAGCCCTGCACGGGCTGCGTGCTTGGTGCCCCCTGTGTCTCTCAGGCAGGACCTCGGTGACTTCAGCACAGGACCGAGAGGAGGGTTATCCCTGCTACAAGACAACTAACATTCCTAGGCCTCCATCTATGTAGTGTCCACCATGACCGAGCCTCAAAAGCAGACTGCAAGAGCTTTGGGGTGGTGACCACCTTTCTGTGCTGTTTGTACAGCACCCTGCACAGCAGAGCTTTGATCCCTCCTTGGAGCCTCTTGGGACATGCTAGAGGGGGAGGAGAGATGAAAACAGCATCCTACCCACCATCTGCTGCTGCAAGATGGAGGTGGGGCAGCTGAGAGCAATTGCCAGTATTCTCAGTGCAGATGTGCTCTGATCCTAACATCACTGAAGTCATGAGAGAAAAGAAAAAGGCAGGGTAACTTGGAGGACTGAACACTTGCCTAAGAACTCAGGAAACCTGGTTTCTATTCCTGGTTCTGGCAAACGTGATCTGGGGCAAGTCACTTCTTTTCTCTGTACCTTAGTGTTCACACATGTTAAGTGGGAATAATTATACTTACTTAAAACACTTTTTGAGGCTATATAGCATGGTAGATCTAAGTGCCATTGTCCTTGCTGGTACAAGATGTGAACTTGCCTCTACATACTTTCTTTTTTTGTACTTGAGAATGTTTCATTTAATGCATCTTCATAAAGAAAGACATATTCCTGCCCCACACCATGCAAACCACAGTGGAAGCTTTATCACTGCAGAGAAAAGGCACTTTGAACATAAAAGAACATCTCTCTCTCTCATGGAGTTCCAACAGAACACATTAATGTGCTCATAAGACCCAGATGACAGAAGGTGAGTGGGAGACAAGGGGAAGCAAGAAAAGATACAGCCCTTCTAATGCTATTCTTAGGTTCCATTATTCTGAGAGGTGCCCTTGCTGTCTCAAATGTGTCAATCCTTATTTTTGAAGAAGTGATCAGGATTTTGTCCATTATGCAGTGGATAAGGTGCTAGACGAAGACTCAGAATATCAGATTATCTTCCAGGCCTTTCACTGCAGATGCCTACACTGAAGACTGTGCTAGAAGCATACCCAAGTGTTAGCTACAGCTTAGTGAGTACTAGCTACAGCTTAGCCACAGCAGCACCAAGCTCAGTACAGGGTAATTTTCCCTGCTGGGAAGTACAAATCATTTCCATCTCTGTGGCTTCCTTTTCTTCTACCAATCTGTCTGCAACTATTTGGAGTACAAGGTCTTCATAGAAGAACTGTCTCCTACTAGGTATCTACAGCAAATGAAGCCGCTGCCACATGCAGGGCCTCCAGAAGCCAGCCTAATGATATATGTGTGATGTGTCATGTTATTCTCCAACTTTTCCTGCTAAGTATCAAAATGTGGTGGGGGAGTGAATCAAGTTTCTCTTAACTTTCGTCTTTTCAAAATACCACCATGTTGTGCTGCTACTGCCCTGATCATGCGCTAAAGCTCCTGGAGAGAAAAAAAGTAGCACTTGTCTGACCTGGAGATGGACCATTCCTTATTGCTAGCGTTCAGGAGAGACTCACTATCTTGTGCACCCTCTGATGCTGGAGTGTAAAGTCAGACTTCCACTTGTCTGGCACCTCTCAACTGATGGCAGCAACATAGGGCCCCTGCAAAACAAATCAGGACAGTTGGTGGTTGACGTGGGGAAAAAAGCAGAGCTCTTCAATGAGTTCTTCCATTTAGTATTTCTATGTACCGACCAAGTCAATTCC